CTGATAAAATATTTTAATATAATACTATAATTTTTGTACCACATATTTGGCACATTAATCTTATATGAACAAACTTTTTCAACCAAATGTATTTTTATAGATATATAAAACTGAGAAATGGAAGGATTTTGATCCCAGGACACATAAACACATGTCCTATTAGTGAGAAATATTTGAACTGAGGAAAGGTGAGAATAAGTAACTTGATAACCTTGATCTCTGAATACAGAATCATCTATTTTCTGTGACATCTGGCCAAATCTCAACCTTTTGCATGCCTCAGTGGCTCAACCAGTATAATTATACTCCTGCTGTGAAACATATTTAAAAATTGATTTGCAAAACTTTTTCTGTTTCCAGGAAAAAAAAATGCACCAAATAGAATGAATTTAATTTAGGTATTATTGATTTCAACAATTGAAGAAATGTACTGTCACATATTAAGATATTCTAACAATGCTTTTTTTTTTTTTTTTTTTTTTTTTTTGCAATGGGTAACTTTTTGTGACAATTAGTTTTCATACCTTAAGAGCACATATTATTAGTTTCCATACCTTAAGAGCCCACATTTCTTGTTAAAGAAATGTTAGAAGTTTTCGGAACTTTGTAGATAGATAACTTTGTAATTAAAAAATAAAAAACAGAATGTTGCTATAATCTGCATATACAGTTGAGACATTATATGCTATTTCCTAGCACCTGTTAAGTTAGAAAGCTACAACACATAAAAAGGGAGATTTATCTCTCATAGAAAACTGCACCCTTAAAATGCCAAAATGCAAGATCAACGACTTTCACTCAACTTTTAATGTGCTGCCCTACAACTTTACTACAGCACATTTGGGCAAGATTTTTAAATTGTTTTGTTTTGCTGTTTTTAACCAGGTTAATAGTTTTATATGTCCTATAAGAAATATAATATTATTAATAAACTAGAGGCCCAGTGCACAGATTCATGCATTGGTGGGGTCCCTCAGCCTGACCTGTGCCCTCTTGCAATCTGGGACCCCTCTGGGGATGTTGAACTGCCAGTTTTGGCCTGATGCCACAGGCCATGGACGGGCCAAAACCAGCAGTCCGACATTCCCTGAGGGATGTAGTAGTACACGAAATGGCAGGGAGCCAGGGAGGAGCCCAAACCCCGGCCAGCCCCATGCCACTTCTGCTCATCCTGGCCCTGCTGCACCTGCCACCACCACTCAGTAGCGCACTGCTGCAGAGGTGGGAGGCTCACGCCACTGCTATAGCTGTGCTTGCTAGCCATAAGCCCAGTGCCTGGTGCCCATCAGTCAGCTTAGTGGTGCTCTCTGGTGGTCAGTACACATCATAGCGACTGGTCAAATGATCATTTGGTCATTCAGTCACTTAGGCTTTTATATATGTATAGACTAGAGGCCCGACGCACAAAAATTGTGCAAGAGTAGGCCTTCCTTCCCCCAGCTGCTCGCACCAGCTTCCCTCGCAGCCCTGGCTTTGTCTGGAAGGTCATCTGGAAGGACGTCTGGAAGGATTTCCAGTCTAATTAGCATATTATGCTTTTATTATTATAGGTACCTTTACATTAGCTTAATACAAGTTGATAAGGATAAAAACACATATACTACGAATGCATGCAACATCTGAACTGAATGAAAATAACATGATGCTGGGCCATTTATGAACCAGTTTGATACCATCACACTGTCTTAAATGTCTTTGGGCATTTTTCCCAACCCAAGTTTCTCTCCTTTATAGTTATCATTGGTACAAGGTGTGATGTGATGACTTTCAGGCATCAATTAATATAAATTGGCAGCAAGCATAGTATTAATTAAACATGACACTCTGATTATTTAAACCTCCTATTAAAGTTGATTATTCAGAGCATGTTGATAGCCTACTCTTCAAAAATGACTGATGATATCAAGCTTTACTGACTTCCTCCAAGTCTACTATTTCCAACTCTTCAGAACAGAAGGAATAAATGAAGTGAGAAGAACACCGAAACAAGGCTAATAGGCAAACCGACTAATCTCAGACTCCCAAGGTCAAAGTAAAGCAATTCATTTCTTGCCTTTCATCAACATAAGACATGATTTATCAATCTGAGAGCAGGATTACAAACATTATACATCTCAATAATATGTTCTTTGCACTGTGTAACTTTTTGAACAATGATGGATTGCAGTCGCCACAAAAGTAATATCATAGGCAAAACCTATTAGATTTGCAAATAAAAACATTTCAATTTTTAAAAGCAAAGGTACTCATTAGCAATCATAACTACTACACACTTCATTGAGGGGAGGAGCAATATTATTTTAAAAATCAGATATTCATTGGGATTCTATCACTTTGGACTTTTAATGCTCCTCAACACACTATTCTTACTTTAATATATTCATTCATGGAGCCAGTCACCATGTTATAGATAATTACTAAATGCAACATTTTTATGTTATTGGAAAATGTCAAAGATATTATTGCATTTTCACATAAAAATGGTAAATGTCTCTTAAGGATTGCTACTTCTACAGTCCAAAGCTGCTTTTAGAGAAGAAAACATTATAAGGAAGATCATTGGAACATTTTTTTAACATTATAAAGGTAATCATATAGCAGGGATTTTGCCTCAAATTTTAGGATTAGTGTTTCATAAGCTATTAAGAATAGGTGAGATAATAAGAAGTCACAAACCAATTATTTTGATGATATTAATCTCCCAGGTTATCTCTCACTTGCTATAACACTTACAAAACTGTTCCATAAGCCATGCTCCTAATAGAAGTTAAGAAATTATTCTATAAAGTAATATTAGGTAATTTGAGAGATTTTCACCAATGTTAAATTATATATATAAAGGATTGTCAATAGTTATCACGAAACCGTATTCGCCATTCAACATATCTAATATCACATTTTCACTGACTAAAGTAATGACCACTTTTTCTATTCGGTCACAATTTAAGGCAAAATTTATTGCCTAGGTGGAGGAGGATACTACAAGGTGTTGTACCTGCAGCTGATGATTCATTTCACCAGCTGCCAGAGAGCTGCGCGCTGCCGAACACCTGGACACACGCACTGCGGCTGTTGGGGAAACACATTTATCTTGGCACGTCACAAAGGAGATGAAATTATAATTTTTCTCCCTTGTAACGAAAAGCACTTTGGAGCTGTGTCGACCTACAAAATAATACAAATTACACATCTGGAATAGGTCCACATAATTTTACCATCTGTTCTCTATTTTCAACCATGAATATGTCCCAAAGCATTCTTTGTGTTTAAAAAAATAAGATTTATTTTTTAAAGACTTGGACTGGTTGTCAACATTGCAGGGAAATGCTATTTTTTTTTTAATTTAATACACTGAATAAATTGCTCAAAACCCTGAATTTCTTTGGTTGATAAATAATGCATAATACAAATTTAATCAGTAGTTTTCATTAAGGGGATTTTGTGGCTATCTCGGATTCTGATTTTGAGAAAATAAATGTGTTGGCTAAGTCTTATGCAAAGTCTTCCATGCAAAAACTAAATATCCGAATATTTAGTATGAAAGAAAAATGGTAATAGACAGGTCTTTCTTCAACTGAAGTTTCAATAGTTACTCATTATCTTGACCAAAAAATCCAAAGATTCTTACTTAATTTCTCCTGAGAAGTTCCTTAATTAAACACATTAAAATATCATATCAAAATAGAAGTAGTTTAGGAATATTTAACACAGTTTTCAGAACCATGAGTTCCAGAAAATGAAAATATTTCATCCAAGGTAACCAGTGATAATAAGCTTAGTCTACATCAGTTTTGATAGTTACTTTTAATTTATTATAAAACTCTTATAGCTAATGTTTCTCTTTTAAAATGCAAGTTTATTTTCTCTAAATATAAAAATTCAATGAATCTGTACACAAGATAGGAGAGATCATAAAATGCACAGTTTTAATGCTGAAAGTTTAAAGAACAAGCTTCAATATGGGGTGAAATAATTTTTTCATATTTCTGCCAAAAACACTGAAGAAAAAGAACAGCTTAGGATATTTAAATATAGAAAACACTCTTATCTGGGTAATATTTACCTTTCTCCTAAAATAAGGACATAATAATAGTAACAACAACCAAACAATTATCTGTAAAAATAAAATCGTAATATGCAAATTAACAGGACAGCCAAACGACCTTCTGGACATCATTCCAGATGTCTTTCTGGATGAAGCCATGGCAGCAGGGGTCGAGGCAGAGGCAGTTAGGGGTGATCAAGCAGACAGGTGAGTGGTTAGGGGTGATCAGGCAGGCAGGCAGGTGAGCAGTTAGGAGCCAGAGGTCCCAGATCATTAGAGAGATGTCCAACTGCCAGTTTAGGCTTGATCCCCAGAACTGGGCCTAACCCGGCATTCGGATATTCCCCGAGGGATCCCAGATTGGACAGCCCAGATTGGAAATGGTGCAGGTCAGACTGAGGGACCACGAATTTTATGCATTAGGCCTCTAGTATTGAGAATAAAAATCAATGGTCACTAATCTAAGTACTTTATACACATTAACTCATTTCTACAACCCAATGAGGCAGATACTATTAGTATTCTTTTTTTTTTTTTTTTTTTTTTTTGGTGAAAACTTTCTTTGCAATAAAAAAACACTGAATTAATACATAATTGTCCTTCAATATTTGTATATATATGGAAACATCAATATTATCAATGTGTGAAACTAAGGCCCTGTTAAATCCCTGTTAAGTATATGTATAGATGTATAAAATAGGTTACCAAAATATAACTTTATTCTTTTATGCTTTCAGGTTCTATAATTTAGTGCCAACTGTAGAAGATGCAATAAAGTTATTGGCATCTAGTTTATGATAAAATCAAATAAAGTTTATCTGCCTAAGAAAATTATAATTATTATAAGAATAAAGTTGATTAGCCCACACTAAATTTCTTCTTGAGGTCTACATTTCAACTATATAGCCTTACATGTATTCCTCATAAGTATTTCAGAGTAAATATGGCTACTTACTTTTCAGGATTTTCTACTTCTTCAGTAACGAAGTTGAGATAAAACCTAAAAAGATACAAATTATAAGCAATTAATATATTTTATGATCATAATTCAAAGTTTCAAAATTTGTTCATTTATTTATTGAATTTATTGGGGTGACATTGGTTAATAAGATTATATAGGTTTCACGTATACATTTCTATAACATGCCACCTGTATATTGTGCAAATGTTTAAAATCAACCTGAGAATTATGAAAACTTTATAAGCAAACACTTACAGTATGATGAAAATGTTCCACAGCCAAAAGCTCCTGCAAATCATTTCCCTATTAAACTGCATTGATGGAGTTCATTTTTATTTAACATTTTTATAAAGGTATAACGTACTAACAGTAAAGTGCACACATCTTAATGAGTAAAGATGGAATTTTACACAACTGTGTAGCCCTTTCCAGTAATACCTTCTCCTCCACTCTCCTGCAAAGGCAGCCACTGTTCTGACTTTTATCACCATAGATTAGATTTGCTTATTTCATCACAGCAGATGCATATTTGCTTGTATAACAGTTTTACAATGTTTATTCTTTTGTGTCTGGCTTTTTTTGCTGGCCTTTGTGTTTGTGATTCTCATCCATATTGTGTGTAGCAGTGATCTAGTATTTTCCATTGTTGCTATTCATCGAATGAATGTAGCACTATGCAGTCTATTGTTGATGCACATTTGGATTACTTCTAATTCATAGCTATTTTGAATACAGACACCATGGATATGCTTGTACATGTCTATGCATTCATTTCACTTGGTTATATGCTCAGAATAAGATCGCTGGATCATAGGGTGGATATATGTTTACTGCCAACTACTTCCTACCATTTTTAAAATCTGCTCCAGTAACAGATGAGATTACCTTGTGTCAGTCACTGGGGACATGAAAGCGGAAAATATTTAGTCTCTGTCCTCAAGGAGCTTGTGGTTTATAGAATGGTCCATAAAATAGTGTGATATAGCGTAGGGGGCAATGCTGGAAGGCAAATTGGGCGAAATGGGAGCCAGGGCAGGTCTAACCCAGATTGGCAGGTCAGGGAAGATTTTTTAGAAGAGGCATCGGCCCAGTTGAGTCCTCAAAACTGTTTAACATTTACCCTGGTGAAGTGGTATAAGGACATCCCAGACAGAGTAGAGCACATGAGCACCAGGCCTGAGTAACCCATGATTGAGTATTCTACAGCACTGAGTGTGTCACGGGAGTGAGGACAGAATTTAAGTACACACAGCTTTTGGCTTCGGAGAATCCAGACTTTAGTAGTGGTGTCAAGTCTTATCAAAACTAGTAGGGCAATAGAAGTATGACAAGACAATGCTCAGTTTTAGGGAACCAGCTTTCTATATATAAACAGAGGCTTACAAGTGGGAAGTGAAATGGGATAAAAGATAATAAATTCTCAATTCACACGTGTCCCTTTCAATTCACTCTTTTCCAGTATGCATCCTACCAAGCAACCTAAAGTCACTAGCTTCTGAAGTTGCTATTTTTCTTTTTTGTATATTTAGGCAGCTAATGGTAGGAACATTGTTAGGCATTATACAAAGTTGATAACTAAAGAGCAGAACTTGTTTTTGAAATCCTCACCCAAGGACATGCTTAGAGAGTGGAAGGAAGAAAGAGAGGAATTGATTGGCTGCCTCTGCACATGCCTCAATCAGAGCTCAAACCCACAACCTGGTTATGTGCCCTGATGGGTAATTGAACCTACAACCTTTAGGTGCATAGGACAACACTCAGTGAACTGAGTCACTCTGGCCAGGCAAGAGCAGAACTTTTAGAATATTTCTCAAGGCCTGCACACTTTTCTGGGCCTATTACATGACAAAAGCATTCTGGGCAAACATATTACATTTTCAAGTTCTATAGGATTGCAAATATTGCCCTAAAAGTATGTCCCAAAAGAATTTAAGGATTCTTTTACTTTGTGACCCTGCTTGTCTCATTTGGGAATGTCCACCACCTTGCATACATGACTTCTTTTTCCAACCTAAAGGAATGCTGGAGACCCTTTAAAGTCCTGTAGTTTCCTCTCAGGGTCCCAAAATATAACATTGAGGCAGACTCCATCCTCAAATGCACATACATACATAGATAACTGGATCATGAAGGTGGGAAAACTAAGGGTTTATAATAGGGAAAGCTGAACATATAAAGAAAAATACCTTTCTACCTCTTCATTTCATAGGTTAGGAAATTTCCACAAAATAAACAAGTGATATTTTCAACGTACCCTTCTGCTCTCTTAGTGTTCCTTAGGAGGTAAAATATCAATTTATTAGTTGCACAAAAGCCTGGGGTCACAGGTAGAAACTTTTCATAATCTAAAACCAAATGGCTGGACTTCAACTTTCTTGAGACTTCAACAAAGATGAGAAAGCCTGTCACATTCCATCTTTATAATACACTTATCTAAATTAATAAACAGGTAGTTAATGCTCATGCTTGTTCAAAACAAGACAACAGGCCCCCAATGGAGTCACTTATGCTAAGTCTCATGTCACCAAACGGAGACTTAATTACAGTTCCAGCTCTCTCAGAAATGGAATCTGAAACCAGTCTATCAGGAATCATCTGACCATAACTAGTTAGGCCATCTGCCTATAGACAGGTAAGTAACCTTGCAGTAACCAACCTACTTTTTTGTGTAGCCTAACTTTCTTGTTCCCACTTCCTTCTACCTATAAAAGTCTTTCATTTTGTACAGTTCGTTGGAGCACCTTTCTATCTGCTATATGGGAAAATGCCCAATTGGAATCAATTTTTGTTCAAATAAACTCTTGAAATTATTTATTTTATAAATTTATATTTTAACAAGGTTAAGGTATCTAATATCCTAAAGATATGTTTTAAGTGGAAATAGCTTAGAAAACAGTAGTGATAATGTTGATCTAAAAAGTTAGCAACCTACCTGGATGGCGTAGCTCAGTGATTAAGCATCAAACTATGAACAAGGAAGTCTCAGGTTCAATTCCCAATCAGGGCACATGCCTGAGTTGTGGCTGAATCCCCAGTAGGGTGCGTGCAGGAGGCAGCCAATCAATGATTCTTTTTCATCATTGATGTTTCTCTCCTTCTTTAAAATCAATAAAAATATATTAAAAATAATAAAAAATAATAAAAATAAAAAGTTAGCAGCCAGCCAGGCCAGTGTGTCTCAGTGGTTGAGAGTCGACCAGTGAACCAAGAGTTCCCCAGTTCGATTCCTGGTCAGGGCACATGCCTGGGTTGCAGGTTCAAAACACAGGAGACAGCTGATGGATGTTTCTCTCTCATCAATGTTTCCATCTCTCTATCCCTGTCCCTTCTTCTCTCTCTAAAAAAAATAAATCAATAAAAACATTTTTCAAGTTAGCAGCCAAAGATGTCTTTTAATGACCAAAGTATACATTTTAAAAATAGAGGTTGTAGTTATAGCAGGAAGGCAAGCAGCAATCAATACTTACATCTGGAATATGCACTCTCAGGGATTTAATGTGTTTGTTAAAAGCCCGAGGCAATAGGAAGTACAGAAAGAAAATGTAAATAAAACAAAACAAAAAAAAGCATACAAACGAAGAAATATTTCCAGGGTTCTCATATAAAAATCAACCAGTTCTGTCTTAACATTAGTTTTAGAAATGTCTTTCCCAACAATGTTAAAGCAAGAAAGGAAATATTTATGAAAAAGAACACAATTTCAAATATTTGTCATGGCTCTAGAGACTAGAGACAAGGAAAAGGCTTGGGGCAGGGTAGGGGTGAAGAGAAAAAAAGCTTCTTATTTTTGTCCAAACTTCCCATCCTACGGGAAATACACCTTTATGTTCTCCTGGCCTCTAGCAATGAGTCCAGAGCATCCTCTTTGCCTCACATCTCCTCAGGCCTCCAGAGAATGTTCACAAGGTCTATTGTCTCAGCTTTTCCACGATTGTGTATAAAAGGCACAGCAATGCTGACAATGCATTCCAGTACCCAACCATGTGAATTATTTTAAAAAGAATCTTATTCTTTAGATGGGATTTGACACAATGGTACAAAATAATCCCCACAGGTGCTTTAGAAAGACCAAATCCACTGAGGATAGGATTTAAAAGGAAGAAAAAAAGACACTGAAAACCTATTTTCTATCACGTAGTTTAAAAAAAAAAAAAAAAAAAAATCCCACCAACCAATATTTAGCTTTGGATCAGGTATGAGGCTGAAATTGGTTGAACTCCCCTGGGCCATAAGGGAAACAGGCAGGCATATTTCTCTGAATACAGACATTGGCACAAATATTAAAGTTGTTCTGACCCAACTCTGTGACCTGGCTGGGTTAATGATTTCTTTCCCCCTCATCATGTTTCTCTGAAGGAGTTTTTATCATTCTAAAAAGGTTCTGCACTCCTCACAGCCAAGATCCTATGGTCTCCCAGCCAAGGTTTGGCAGTGTCTTTTTCCCATTTAGCACGCGGGAGGTGAACTGCCAGCGGACCCGGGCCTCCAGGACAACCAGGCTCCTGCTGCCTTTTCTTACACCCCAGGTGGTTGAGTTCTGATGGCAATTGCAGCTTCTTTCTTAATTCTGTGCAATGTTCCCATGCTTACCCCCACCACCACCACCACCATCCAACACTGTCACAGCAGCGGAAGGAGTGGAGGCTCATTTAGGGCCCCATTTATTTATAATTCCACAACCCGGTCTCGTAAATATCTCATGAAAGTCAGAGAGAGGTCAGAGAGAAAGGATCACATCTGAAAAATTAATAAACACCCCTCTCCCTGGGAACTCTTTTAGTCTCCCTCTTGTTCCATTTATATCCAGATATTAACTTTTCCTCAGGAACTTGAAGCCAACAGACTATTTCTTCTAAACACAGCTTCATTTTTTTTTCCCTAAGGCTGATGGCCATAGATTAACAACCAGACTATTTCTGCCTGTCCACAAAGCAGCTTTCAGGTGGCATAACCACCTGTGATCGAAATATAGTTACTTTATCTGTCCCCTACCTAAGCCACTTGTATCAGATGACATTTCATTTAAAATCCTGGCCTTCATTTCCAGAACGATGATTGAATCCTCAAGAATATAAGAAAATCAACAGTTTCCTATTCTTTAAAACAGGGAGTAGACATGAGGATAATATGGGTAAAAGGATAAAGGTTCATGTAAACCCCATTTGCCCTACAGACTGTATGGAGATAAGTGTTTAGGCCCAACGTGGAGTTTGGGTCCCCCAATACCAAGCCAATGCTGGGCTCTATACTTATTTCCGTGCTCCTTATTCATTTTCTACTTTTCTCTTCTTTGTTCCTTATTCTTTATCCAATAAAAGCTTCCTGCCTGCCACTCCACTGTGCAGTTTCTGTGGACCCTTGAGAATGGAGACTGCCCACTTTATGAAGTGCTAAATCACGGTTGTTTGTATCACCTACATTGTCCTTTTAAATCATTTTAACAAGAGTAACGTTTTGGGTTCGATGTCAATAAAATTAAATATAGCCTAGCCGGCATAGTTCAGTGGTTGAGCATTGACCTATGAATCAGGAGATCAGGACACATGTAAGGGTTGTGGGCTCAATCCCTAGTGTGGAACATACAGAAGGTAACCAATCAATGATTCTCTCTCATCATTAATGTTTCTATTGCTCCCTTCCTCTCCCTTCCTCTCTGAAATCAATAATAGTTTTTTAAAAATAAAAAAAACAAAAATTAAAGTAATAAGATAATTCAACATGAAAAGAATCTGTCTTCATAAAGAAATCTATCAGCCCTCAAAAGCCTACAGAAGTAGAGATTTGCTCCAGATAAAGAAGGTGACCTGAATATTCAGTGCTGGTAGCAGCGGGGAGTGAGCTAGGTAGGATAATATTTTAATATTCCGTGGGAACAGATGCATCGTACTCACAAGCAAAAGAAACTTCATTCAATAGAATTAATCAAATCTCCCTTGTGACTATCTCCACATTCCACATTCTTGATTGAATACTCCCAGGCTCCAGGCACTTGGCTCTAGCTGAAAGCTTTTGCCACCGCCCCACTTCGTGCTGGTGTCTCCTAGTGACCTTCCCAGTAGCTTGGCTGATGCCCCAGGGCTCCGGAGCTCTGATCCCGGCTGAATAGCCACAGAATAGTTAATTCCAGTGCTAACCCTGTGATCACAACTCCGTTCTTTTCTCTGCCCAGCACCACATTGTGCTTTGGACACAAATTAAAAGGACTTCAACATACTGAGGGATTCAAGACTAATGCTTACACACAACGGATATAAAAGTATTCCAGTAATGTGCAAATATTTTATGCTAGATTCCTTAGAGCTATAGTCTTTTAACAACCTTCAAATATATTTTGCTGCAAAAAGCCATGTTAAAATTTTAAGTTAAGTTCCTGTTTTCTCCTAATTCTCCTCTGCTGTTATATTTTCATAACTCAATGAGATTAATAGGGTAAACACTCCATTTACTTGGAAATATATTTTTATATGCCATGCATTAGCTGGGAGGTAAAATGTTAAAAACTAAAGAAACCGAAGAAAATTGTACTTGTGTTTGAAATGTATTTACATAATTTTTGAACTAGTATGGTTTCCTGATATTTTTAGACTCATAGAACATTCTCACAGCTAAACCTGTATAACTATTAGCTCTATAAATAAGAAAAAAGAAATATTGCTACTAATCACCCCAAAACAGTACAATTTAATTTGACTACAATAATTTTGATATTTAAATTATACTTTTCTACCTATTGGGCTTTCTAGCTAAAATCGCTTCAATTAAATCTTACTAGGTCAGCAATTTTCAACTGGTGTGCCACAAAATTTTTTTAAACATGTAATATCTGACTATTTTGTCAGGACCACTGACTTCTTTCTCTTAGTTATCAAATTAAAAAAAAAAATGGTAACAGCCAACACAACAAAAGCTGTCCAGTGTGAATGAATCAAAATTATATCTATTTTTTTTGTGTCAGATCAGCAAAAAATATATATATATTTCTTGGTGTGCCACAAAATTTAGTTTATGTGTGCCATGAGATGAAAAAGGTTGGAAATCACTGTACTAGATCAATAAAATTAAATTAGGAAAAATCCCACTCTTCTCCATGGTTATTGTTATTCAAATTTCTAAGCAAAACAAGGCACAGATACCAAGTTCCAGTGCTTCCCCCAGAAGGTACCACAGTTAGAAGTACCTCAAAGGAAATGCATCTCCATGGCCTGGTGATTTTTATGAACCTGGCTGTATATTTTCTTTTCAAATGTTGAGAACGTTTTAAGGAATTTGTAAGGTCCCTTAAAAAATGTAACAGATTAGTTAGCACAACTGATTTCATTATTGGTTTCTCCTTCCATGCCTTTTACCTCCTGGGAGCATCTTACTTATTTCTATATCTGCATTATTTATTTCTCATGGGAAGGTGGAGAAAAGTCAGTCGCTATTTCCAAACACCCCTGAAAGGCCTTGGGACAAACAAAGCAGCAATGGTCAATATCTCCCGGCACTATATGTCCTTTCTGATCCACACTTACAAGTGATTTGCACTGGTTCGTAAGGCCCAGCATTTGTTTTATGACTTTAGGCTCAATCTAGTGGTCACTTCAACTGGGAGCCTCAGTTCTATTTGCATTAAGTTACATGCTCAGGAATGGGCCTGGTGGAAGGAGCCACGCCCTCTTCTTCAAGTCAAGTAAAGTAAATGGCACTGGGTTGTCACATTTGCCTAGCACTTTGCTTGGCAATAAACTGAAGCACTAGAAGGAGTTAATGAACCAGACTCACTACCATCTACAGTTAGGCACTTACCAGCCAGCATATGCATACATTCCATAATAGAAAGCCAGTGGCAAGCCCATGATACTGGCGTCTCTTCCTGAAAAGGCATCTTTAAAGTGTTGTGTTTGCCCTGCAATGAGAAGAAAAAGATTTGAAGACTTTTCAAAGAATGTTATTATTCATAAACATGAGGAGGGGGCTGAGGAGATTGGGTAAAAACTATACTGTTTCGGGTCTAGGTTTATTACCATCTGCCCATTGCCAATGTCATCTATTAATACTGTATTCATTCTAGAGATAGAGTCCACAAAGTATATTGATCGCCACTAACATTACTTTATACTTCTCTTTTAATAAAATTATAGCAGAGAGAAAAATGGTATTTTTTTTAAAATCCCTTATTTGAGCGTGCCTCTACTCTTGACAGAGTTTGACCATGAGTGAAGATTAAAGGATCTTTGCTAACCTACAGTTTATAGGAGTATGACAGAATTCTTTAAAATGAAGATAATAGAATGCTTGGGAAGAAATATCAATGATTTATTCTCAAGGAGGAGGTGGCAAGAAAGCCCTGAATCACATTCTTACGATATTCAACTTCCTGCTTTTCCCCTGTAGTTCCTTAGACACTTGCAACTAAATTCGCTCCACTCCTCCCACCCCAGCTTCTTTGGTAAATAGTTTTTATTGGAGTGCAGCCAGGCCACTAGTATTATGGTTGACACTGCCAGCCTATGGTTAATGTCACCCTAAAACAGCAGGGTAGGGTCGTTGTGACTGAGCCCAAACGGCACGCAAAATTAAGATTTCGTATCTGGCCCTATGCAAAAAGTCCGCTGATGCTGTTCTAGAGAATGGCATGGTTTCCTTCTAGAAACACTGGAAAGAAATTATACCGAACTTTAAAATAGATACATTTCAACAAATTTTGCATCAGCATGTGAATTGCACACTTTATTGATCACATTTTTCTCTGCTTTGTGAATCATAATGGGCCCTTTCCTTGTATGTCTTTTGGATAATAACTAAAAGTCAAGAATTCAAATTTAGTTAGACAGTAGCTAAAGTGAAGCATAAAAAAAAAAGTCTCTTCCCCAAAGCAAATAACAAATGAGATTATTCTAATAGAAAGAATGACATCGTTTCAAAACTGGTCTTTACCTAAGTAAATTAAAGGTATATGAGACCCTTTCTCCTCAACCCTCTCAGTTGCTGCCTGGATTGCCCAACAACAACAGATATATCAACATAATATGTGTGAGTTTTGAGTTCAACAGTGGAGAATGTTGAATTATACACTAAATGATTTTTCTCTAATTCCCAAATTTAGCTCTTGTTTTAAAATGATACAGTAAATTCAGAAATGCCTGTTTTACTGAAACACCTCTTCCGCATAAGTGGGAACTATAAAGGCTGGAACTCTGATAAAAACATCTATTGTATTTTTTTTTTTTAATCATGATCTGTGGTCTCCTTGGCCTAAGAATTCCTAATAACACTGAATAATCAGTAAGAGAAACCAAATGTAATAAAGATCAGGTCCCAAGCACAGATCCTAAGAAGTGCCTTCTGCGAGTATTACAGAAGAGAGGCCTTGCTGAACCCCAGGGATACTGCGACCGCATCAGAGAGGTCTCAGGGAGATGGAAGTCATGATCTTCATAGGAAAGCTTAACACATCCTCATAAGTAAAAACAGACCATAGGACTATTTTAGGGATCTGATTAGAATAGACATAAATGCTTATCTAAATTAGTAAAAACAAAACAAAAAACACCATTTTTCTCTCTGGAGTTTCAAATTCATATGGAAAATATATGATCTAGTTAGAGAAAAAGAAAATCACCATTTCTACAGTACTAGAGTAAATATACCTGCTAAGAATGCTCTCCAAAATGTTAAAATTTACTTTGAATGTAGTAATATTCTCAGGGCATTTCTCAGATTAGATATATGAGGAAGCCTGGTCATATTAAACTCGGATATTATAAGATTTTATCCTAAGGATCATTCTAGTGTAAAGTGCTGAGAAGCATCCAAAAGGTATCTCATGACTTCTGCTCTCAAGGAATCTACAACACAGTAGTATTTGGGCAACCTCCTCTCATCTCACACACATTTAAGTGGTAAAAAACTGACTACAGTCATACATTACACCATAAAAGATAAAGGGAGGGAGAAAAATCTTGTTTTCAAGGATGATATATCACCTTTTGGAACCTAAGTTAGACCCAAAGTGAGTCAATGATGCAGAGTTTCTATACTTTCCAAAAATGGAAGAAGTTCCCTACAGAAGACTAAAGAGTTAGCCCAGAAAAAGAAAACTCCAACAAAACATCATTTTCCCTACATTTCTCACGGCTCAGATGAAATCTGAGCAGGCCAGCTCTGTGGAGACCAATGTGAATGAGGAGAGCCAGCTCCTGTCTTCTCTTTGTTGTGTTTATTCTGCGAAGGCCAAGGTTGCTGGATTGAATGCAAACATTTAGTCAGAAGGCCTCTAAGAATTCCCGCTGGGCTCATTCAGTGGACAACAGCAAATCCCTTCCCCCGACCTTTTGCCGTTTGTTATTGTTGAATGCCTCTACCCATTTTGCTGAATTTTGGCATATCTTTTGCCTTGTGTAATTCCTCTGCAACTTCATTAAACTTCCCAATAAATTCCCTTTCTTGGAACTGACAATGTCCATGTAAACATTAAATACTTTACATGCTCAAGTTATAGGTCACTCCCTTACAATTGCATCTCACTTTTCTAGTTACTTCCTACTATCCTGCCCATTGCTAATTAAATAGCTCACCTGGGCCTGCTTCCTTTCCAACACTTTCCCCTGAACCCAAGCTATTGCATGTGCCTCCTTCCCTAAAACAACTAAAACTCAAAATGACATCACCCCCTCTGCCATCTCAGGTTTCTTACTAAACAGTAACTCCATGAGGCAAGTACTCCCAGAAAACGCTATTACATTTCTGTTAAAATGCAGAGTTTACATTAAAAAATAATGTAACAAAAGCCAAAACTGGTTTAGCTCAGTGGTAGAGCATCGGTCTGGGGACTGAAGGGTCCCAGGTTCGATTCCAGTCAAGGGCATGTACCTGGGTTGCGGGTGCATCCTCAGAAGGGGTGTGTAAGAGGCAGCTGGTCGATGTTTCTCTCTCATTGACGTTTCTAGCTCTCTATCTCTCTCTCTTCCTCTCTGTAAAAAATCAATAAAATATATATTTTTAAAAATAATGTAACAATGATAACTGAGTATTCACCATTTTTGCCACATAATACTTGGTTTTTAGAACTGCTACTCCCTCATCTGTCTCCCTGCCGAAATTCCATTCTTAAGGTAAAAAGAATAGTAACCATAAAGGAAAGGAATTATTGATCATCTTTTATTACGATCCAGATATCTTTAATCTTCATTTCTGTCACTGAACTAGTTTCAAGTTTAACTGCAGATTTTTTTTCCCATTTTGAGTTTTCACTTCAAACAGTTTACATCAAGAGAGAATTCACTGATGCCTTATTTTGTTGCTTGGCCCAGTCTTAATGCTCTGGTTGCCATTTAGCTCTAAATACCAACTCATCCTCATGGTAGCAGGCTTTCATATCAATTAGATGACAGTATAGATTCCAAGATCCACAAGCAGAGACTAATTAAGGGATTCTGCTAGTACAAGCGAAAGTTAATGCTGGAGAGACCAAAAGCAGATACGTACTTTAAAAAGCATTTATTTTTCAGTCCATACCTTTAATTAGCTGCATAACTCCAGGGACTATAATTATCAGAATTGCTATGAGCTTGCAAAAGGTTAGGAAAATCTGGATCCGGGCACTCCAGCTGACACTCATGCTATTTAGGACCATCACTGCAGCTGCAAACAAACAAACAACAAACAAAAAACAGATGAAGTCACAAAAGGAGAATCTTTATTGGCATGAAGACATTGTAGGTCCTGATTACTCTAAAAGCCATCCAGGACCAGAGGTGTTAGCATGACCTGGAAGCATTGTGGAAATGCAGAAACTCGGGCATGGCCCAGATCTAAGAAACACAAATCTGCATTTCAACAAGATCAAGGGTGATTTTTATACACATTAATGTTTGAGAAGCTTTTAGATAAAAACCTCTGGACAGTAAGAAGTCATTTCTTGTTCTTTTTTAATATGAGTGAATATATATTATAGTGCCTTGATGATTATATAAAAATATCTTCTAAGCAAATCCTGAAGTCTTTGTAGCACACAATCAGGTTGCTGAATATGACTCTTCAGCTTGCTAAGGCAGCAGCTACCTCCTCCCTCAGTGATTCTGTGCATATTCACCTCTCAGTGCGAATCACCCTCAGGAAGAAGATGTCAAGTACGTGGCTGGGACCTTATGCTTCACTCCCAGGACTAGCCTCAGCCAGCAGTTGTGCTGTTCCTCTCTGCTGTCCAATTAGCACGGCCAAGAGTGACTTTCAAGCTACCCAAAAGAAAGAGTCTTCCAAGACATGTTTTGGGACTTGGACAAAAACCATTGTAAAGGATGCGTCCAAAATAGCACCCAGGCTAGGATGAGCCCTCGGTCCGAAGCCAGCGGGATGTCCCTTTCTTACGAAGGCTGCCTGTGGTTTCCCAGCAGCACGCAACCAGCCACGCTCCCCACCAGGTGTAGACCATGAGAGCCTCGAGGAGAAAACAAGCCACATCCATCTCTGCATTGCTAGCATCCAGCTGCATGCCTGCCCCAGGAAGATCATCAGCACCATTTGGTTGAATGAGTGAATGAGCTGGATACTCAGTTTAAAAAACTAACAAAACCAAAAACCACTGCCATGGGCCAAAAAGACATGAAATGAATGATGATAAGATGCTGCCTCGTATACTCTGCAGGAATGACTGGGGTTGTTTTAGGCAGTGGATTTCAATGTTATGCTCTTTACAAAACCTTATGCTCAGTGTTAACCACCTCTTCCCACCAAAAAAGCAACTCCACAGTTGCAGTTATTATCTATAAGCTTTATTTTTAAAAACGTATATTCCTCCCAAACAAATAAAAAGTGTATAAAGACATTTTTCCACAAATAAAACAAAACACAGAATTCTTATTCAAATTGCAATAGAAAGCTTGCCTTATTTGCAGCAATGAGTTATCTTTTTATCTTCCACATAATCACTGACTCATTTCAGAATTTAAGAATCAATACAAATGTTATCAACTTAATGGCCTAAACCCCTAAAAGAAGGTTGATTAAGGGACATTTTTTAATGGTTTGCTATGCATGCATTTAAAATCATGATGTAGTCAGATATTTATAATATGAAAGGGTGTTCATGATATAATATTGACCAATAGAGCAAGTGACAGAGATGGATAGACACATATAAACACACAAAGGCAAAAAGGAAATGAAGAAAATCTAAAAAATCATATATCAAAACATTAACAGAAGTTATGAATGTTAGAACACTAAATAATTTTCAATGTTTCTTATTTATTTTTCTGCATTATTTCAATAAATTTATAATGAACATTTTAAAGCAACAAATAAAGCAATTTTCATTTTTGACAAAATTCAAAGATGGAAAAACTAAGGTCTCGGTAGATTCCCCACACAGAGGCTAGGAGTTTCCTAATGACGAAAGGCTAAAGGAAGGATGATCAAAAAGGCTGGGCCTGGAATAAGCTACATGGGAGGTTAAGGGAAAGTTTTTATCTACGTTTGAAGCTTAAAACTTGAAGAAACAGACACAGCATTAATAGCACAGTGCATCATTTTATCAGAGAAAGGATAAAACGTAAAATTATTTCTCTCCCCAATATAAAGCACTGATATATCAAAAAATAATATGATGCAACTCTGCTCTCATCTTTGTCATCCAGTGATTTCTTCTCCTGTTTCTATGCAAATGAGTCTGTGATAAATTAATCATTATACAAAGGGAATTATTTTTTCAGTTAAAGAGATTCAGCATTGGCCTGCAAGAAAATGGAACTCATGTTCCACCACCAACAAAAGAGCAGTTTTCTTTTAAACAGAGCTCCTAAAACCCCAAACACTATTTCTTTTTTTCTTTTTTAAATATATTTTATTACTTTTTTAGAGAGGAAGGGAGAAGGAGAGATAGAAACACTGATGAGAGAGAAGCATAGATCAGCTGCCTCCTGCACACCCTCCACTGGGGATGTGACCACAATCAAGGTACATGCCCTTGACTGGAATCGAACCTGGGACCCTTCAGTCCAAAGGCTGACGCTCTATCCACTGAGCCAAACCAGTCAGGGCTCCAAATACTATTTCTGGTAGTACTCCACAGTAGAAGAGAGCTGTTGCATAGAGATGAAGGGAGAAAAAGAAGAAGAAGAAAGGGAAAGAAGGAAGGAAAGGGGGAGGGAGGGAGAGAGGGAGGTGGGGGGGGGAGGGAGGGAAAAGATTAGAGGTGGAAGGAAGGAAGGGAGGAGGGGAGGGAGGGATTGTGGAGGAAGAAGAAAGTGAAAGAGGCATTCTTATCTTTTTGGAACCTCTATCTATATATTTGAGGAGAGGAAGAGGGTTTGTTACTTTCATAAAGAATGTAAGTATTCAGTGCCTATTAAAAAAGAAAAAAAGTATTTGGATTTTCTTTTGTATTTTGTTAAGTCTTCTTAGAAAAATGGAAGACAAAATTAAACTGGTATTACGAACTGATAGTCTCACCTCACTTTGCTCTCAGACAGCTAAAATAAAAATTCTGGTTAAGACTGATTTCTCTCAAAGGTTTCTCAGAACGCTGCTTTACTTGAGCATCTAGACATTACGCTCATTGTGTGGTACAGATGGGTGTGCCTCTGCCACCCTGAAGGACACAGCTGAGCAAGGAACAGGCGGCCAGTACAGAGGTGCAGTGAAGGTTCTCACGTGGCTGAAGCTGCTGTTTCATCATGTGCCCTTACAGAGAAATGTAAGTCTATGAATGCTGCTTCTCCAACAATATTGAAAAAGGATCTGAGATTCAATAGAGCAAGAGTTTTCTGAGTCTCTGAGACAAATGATACCTACTTTGTTTTTGATACACTACCCACAATATAATAATCAGAGAAATCTGAGCAAGCTCTCTGGTCCTAGTTTTACCTTCATTGAAAAATAATTGCTAATTTCATACATTAGGAATTATTTATATAAATTTGGGATGATGATGATGATGATGATGATGATGATAATGGTTACTATTACTGTGTTGCTTATCCTATATGTTACCAAAATGAAAATTCAGGGACCTAAAGTTTTTTGGCATTTTTTTTATGATACAGTCTCCTAAGATCTGAAATGCAACCAGGAAAGCCATATGTACAAATCCTGGAGAGAAGAAATACATATTTGAAGGGAACTGTATCTGAAGAAGATGTTTTAGGTGAATGTTAAGGACTGAGTCTGTGACTTAAGAATGGCAAGTATGTCTTGCTGCACTTCTGTAATTCAAGTCTGCCTTTGCTTTTGCAGAGTAAGATTACTGAGCCTGGATATACTGGTTTTTCCTTGGCTCAGACTTCTGACTTCTTCAGGTTACCCTGACAAAAAATATATTTATGCTGTAGGGAAGTTACATGGTGGATTGTGTCATTGTTTTCCTAACAGCTGCCTGGACTGCCTTTATCTCTTGGTTAGCATTTATTTCCTGGATGCATTAATTTCAAAGAAAATGTGTAGCAAAAAATTGAAACAGAGAATCCATATCTAGGGAACTTACTATTGGGAATAAAAGTGGTAAGCATTAAATCATATGTAACTGTGTAGAAACTTAATTTCTTAATATGACCTTTTCTCCTTTCTTTCCTTTTGATTCTTACTGGCCGCACTAGGCATCCTGACTCACCTGCCTCCTTCTCTCTTACAGGGCCACTCCCTCAGTGGTTAAGCCTTTGGGACAAAGAAATTCTGATCAGCATCAAATAACCTAAGGAACAAAGCCTCCGCCTCCGGTGCGTTGACCCCAGAGATAGAGTTACAAAGTCAAATGAGAGATAACAGCTAAGCTTCAGTTGTGTTGCAGCTCTAGGTCCAGAAAAACAAGGTGGCAAAACTAGAGAGAGATGCCATGGTTGACACCAGGACCAGATGCACTGACTAATGACTCCCTATTCTAGCTCTGACCAATCAGTAGAGACCATGACGCGAACTCCCTTAGTCACTGTGATTAATGATCTTTCCCCAACATAACCCATGCCCTGGAAGTCATGGGGGAACCATGATTTGAACATTAGCTCGCCCATGTCTAGGCGCAGGCCACTTCCTAAAAATAAACCCTTCCTTTGCTACAAACTCCTGTTGGAGGTGTCTTATTGGGCCTTGACGTGTGCAGGCAAAGAAACCGCTTTAGGCTGGTACCAAATGTAAACTATTATTACATGGCAGACGCAGTGCAAAGACTTTACACAGATATGTTATTTAATCTTCACCTCTCTATGATGTGGTTATCATCACTGGCCTTGTTTTTCAGACGAGACTCGGAACATTAATGAACATGCCTATGTTCATGTAGGTAAGTATGAAGATGGGATTGGAGCCAAAGTAGGCTGCCTTCAGAGTCCTCACTTTTGCCACTGGTTCTTAGGTAGCAAGGAGGAAGTAGCTCGAAGACATATAGGATCTCACTAGAACACCTGGTTCTTCCAAACTCCTGGCAACTCCCCCCCTTCTCTGCTTAAGTTCACGTTTGTCTTGGCTGGGATTTCAGGACATTTCAGGGACACATTGTACTGTTATCCTCCTGAATAAATGGTTGTTGTCTACAGTATTTGTGCATTTAAATACTATGTATGTCTACCTAAGACTTGGCGGTCTTGGTAATTTAGTTATGGTAGAAAAGGAATAAGTATAGCCACACTTCAGAAGATGAAACAAATTCACTCCATGTGCTCATATTTGAAATGCTACCACAGAACTGGTCCTATATTTTCTTTCATGTAAGTTACTGATGCCAGGAAAATACAGTTTTAAAAAAGAAAATACAGTAATGCGTTTATAGAACTCGCTAATTTTTTCTTACAATGCAATCACATGTTATTTTTAATTTGTTTGCTTCCCCTAATTATTCTCACAGGTATGAGAGCTGAGCAGGGCTATTTACTCACCTACATGAACTAAACTCAAACTCACAGAGGCTGTTAGGGTTGGATCTGGAAGTAGATCTTACATTTTGAAAAACTATTTTTATTATATTATTCTTCCTTTAGAGTGTTGGATTTAGTTTTATGAGACCAAAACAACAGACAAAATATCATTTTAAATATTCAGCGTATGCATATTGTGGACGAAAGGGGCCATATGCTGACCTGACAAGCTCAAGACTTACAAACTCAGAAACCTAAAAGAACCACAAAGGATGGCCTAAAATTAAACTTTAACTAAATGCAGTTATGGTGGGCAATTACGCCCTAAGTGATACCTTCACTGATAAGGTCAACCTTTACCTTATCTGAGCCTATCTGTCTTTTGCATCTATGATAACATACCCTTGAAATGTTCCTGTACCCACCTAAGTATGTGTCTATCATTTTATTTTTTATCCCTTCCCAGGGGTTTCCCCACTTTGCTTTTTCCTGCCTCTCTAATCTATCACCAATGGATTTCATGTAACTCACCTACATCCCTTTCCTTTGATTGGAATGTATAAATATAGATGTAACCCGCCATTCTCAGGAACATTATTTCTATTCATTGAGGTTCTGCTTCCTGGCATATGTCTACAGTTTGGCTCAAATAAACTCACAAAAATTCTTTACAGGTTTCAATGTTTGTTTGTTTTTTACGTTAACATCACCAATGCTTCTTGAAACTATAAAAAGAGTGAAAATTCATGGGGTTCCTCCGAAGGTAAAGGGAATGCTGTCAGTATTGGAATAGAGGGGAATGCCAAACATGAATATAAGATTTCCCAGTTACACTTCCATGTGACCCAATGGAGAGGGCTTTGAATAAACACAGCTTCTCATCCCTACTAATTTGACAGAAATGAAGTAGAGCCCAGATGCTCCTATATTTACCATAGGGTTACATCCAGATAAATCCTTTGTGAGATGAAAATATTCTAAGTGGAAAATGCATTTAATACACCCAACTTCCTGAACATCATAGCTTAGCCAAGCCTACCTTAAATATGCTCAGAATATAGTAAGAAATTATTAAAATCAAAATTTGAAGTATAGGTTCTATCAAGTAATGTTAATGTAAAAAACCATTGAAACCTGTAAAGAATTTTTTGTGAGTTTATTTGAGCCAAACAGTGGACATATGCTGGGAAGCAGAACCTCAATGAGTAAAAAGTAGAATGATAAAAAGCAAAACGGTGGACACAGACTTAGGTGGGTGGAGGGACAATTAATATGATAATGAAGGAATTTGGTGGTATCTGTCCTGTCACCCAGCACATTTGATTGTGCTCCAGGGGCTCCAGAAAAAGGAAAGTTACAAGTTACCCAGACATTTCAAGGGTATGCAAAAAGACAGATAGGCTCAGTTAAGGTAAAGGTTGACCTTGTCAATGAAGATACCGGCCTAAGACGTAACTGCCCACCCTAACTGCTTTTAGTTAAAGTTTAATTTTAGCCATCCTTTGTGTGGTTCTTTTAGGTCTCTGAGTTTGCAAGACTGCCATGCAGGCCTCTCCTGAGCTTGTCAGGTCAGCACATGGTCCCTTCCATCCACAGTGTGAATCATTATCGCATCATCATAAAGTCTAAAAATTGTATGAAGTCTCCCTGGCCAGTTTGGCTCTGTGGATAGAGCACTGGCTTGTAGACTGAAGGGTCTCACATTCAATTCCAGTCAAGGGCACATGCCTGGGTTGTGGGCTCGATCCCGGTTGCGGGCGTACAGGAGGCAACTGATCAATGAATGATTCTCTCTCATCATTGATGTTTCTATCTCTCCCTCTCCCTTCCTCTCTGAAATCAATAAAAATATTAAAAAAAAAATCATAAGTAGAACCACTATAAGTCAGGGACCTCTGTACTTTTTAAAGGGGGTGAGGAGTAAATTAGCATTTAGTAACTCTCCATCCCCACCCCACTCTCATTTCTTTAATGGTTGGCTAGCATTTCAAAAAACTTGAAATTCATTTTTTTCTGTGAATGGGTTATAACACAAGCCTTCAGGTTTGCTCTTCGACGTACATTGAAATCCCACAATGATTTCCTCCCCTAGGGAATATAAGAAGCAGTTCATACAATTAAACTCTACTTTCTACCTCTCACTAACCTTCCACCCCACCCCTAGCAGGCAGAGAGTCACCTATCTCAACTTTGAATAATGCAGACTGTGAGAAATTTGCCCCCCGGCTAGTTTCTCCTTCTCTATTGCCATCTCCAGTTCCGGTTGCTCCATGAAAGCTAAATTCTTCTCAAAGGGAGTTTGACTTTCCCAATTAGCCACTGACTTACATTACCTCCCACTGAGTCATAAGAATATCCGTGCTTTCTCTCTCTCTCTTTTAGTGCTTCTTATTATAGGAACACATTTCCTCAAAACTTCAAGCTTACAAAAGAACATCAGAATTTGTAAACTAATGTTATAACTAATAGCAGAAATAGAAGGGAATGTCTAGCTTCATCCAAGATTTACTGACCCTATGTTAACTATTCGGTCACCAATCTCTACTACATAAAGAAGTTTTGCAAACCATAACATACTTAGTTATCCTTACATATAATTGCTTTAAAATTTTGATTTGAATGGTTACCATTAACTTCCCTAAAATTCAAATTTTCCCTTAAAATTATTTAATAGAATTTGGGAAAATAATAAAATAGTCACCTAGACTTCCCAAATAGTAGTAATGTATTAACCATTCTCCACCTTACTTCCAGGTCAAAATGGGCAATATTTGTGGTTTTGTAAATGTTTACATAGAATGTATTCAAAGTTTGCTGGTTATGGTTTTCAATTAGTAACTTCTATTGACAATTTATAGAGAACCTCAAAAACACTACCCTTACCTTTCTCTTTTCAAATATAATAATAATAACTGCAGTATGATTCTGCCTCAGTCAATCGAGGAACAAGAATAGAATGGACACAATATTGGCTATTAGGGTGTCCCAAAGTGGAAGACAAGATGTATCAAGAATTTTCTATGAGCAGTTCTGCTAAAGGCCTTCAGTATTTGACATAGCTTCATTCAAGATAAATAATCTTTTCACAGGTATTTTACCAATAAGTAAAACTGACACTTAAAGTGGTTTAATATTTAGGCCCCAATCACATAACTAAGAAATTGTGACATGAAGTTTCAATTCCAGGTTGCTATCAAATGTGCATTGTCCTCATCCTCTTCATTGTTCCATTGAAATACCTGAGCTACACATAACTAAAAATTCTGAGTATGTAATTCAGTTATTTTTGTGTAGCTTTCTATTTCTGACTAATTTAAATAATCAAATGTTGATTCTTAAAATAGTTTGACTCTATTAGCATCTAGAATTAGGTTATCATTTCTAAGAAGAGTCAAAGGTTTGGAAGCTACATCCTTTTAAAAACTTAGCCATACTTGACTTTTATATCACTTACGTAATGTTGTGCAAAATCCTCTTTTTCATTTTGTTTCTATAAATTTTCTACTATCTGTGCCCATTAATAAAAATGAGCAAGTCACTAATGTGGAGATTGTAAAGAAAACTACTAGCTGAGAAATGCTACTAATAATCAAATATAGAAAGAAGACTCATAGTTATTACCAATAGGCATCTAAACCCATAACACTGAGAGTGACAGCTGCTAACACCATAAAATGTATAAACACTACATACACACCCAACACATACACATCACTCCATGAGGATAAATGAGTTATAATTCAGCATGTTTTATCACTGAGGAAGGAGAATTTCTAATATTAAAAATCCCTAAGATAATTAGGTTTTTCCCCTGCTGGCATGGCTCAGTGGTTGAGTGTTGACCTAAGAATCAGGAGGTCATGGTTTAATTACCAATCAGGGCACATGCCCGTGTTGCGGGTTCTGTCCCCAATGTGGGTGTGCAGGAAGCAGCCATTCAATGATTCTCTCTCATCATTGATGTTTCTCTCTCTCCCTCTCCCTTCTTCTCTGAAATCAATAAAATATATATTTTTTAAAAGAATAATTTGGTTTTCATCTGTAATTGTTCCTACCCTCTCCCCCATGTAATCCAATTTCTAATTTTCCAACAAAGTGGTTTTTCTTTGCCACTTAATGATTAAGCCAATGGAAAACTGACATGCAATATAATGAAGTATCTCTCCAAATACTATTCTTTTCCAACACAAATTTGGCAACGAACTATAAGCAAAAAAAGAACACGATGTGAAAAGTAGGTTCAACCATGCAAAAAATCTGAAGAAACTATCTCCAGTCATTTTTGTGATATGTTTTTGTTTTTGCTTTTCATATTCATACCTATCATACTCACTTAAACCCACAGCCGTAATGAGCTGGATTGCAAGTTCAGGAATTTCACAATGAATAAAAAATGGTTCCAAAAAGTAGCGTCCAAATGCCAGAGATATCACAGCAGTGCCTGCAGGGCTAGAAAACATATATATTTAGGTTACTACAGAAAAGAAATAGCATCTTCAATAAACTTTTTTCTACTATATGAGGTATTTTTATTCAGCACATGGAACATGTTAAATATGAGAGTCTATAATTTTCAGAAATCCATATTTGATTAGGTTGTCACCAACGTTTCAAATAAAATTTTGTCAATAACTTTGGTGAATAGTTTTGAAACTTCCCATGTCTTTGTAAGCAAGGCTATGTTCTTCTATATTTGCCCTTTTCCCCCTTAAAAGTCTAGTTTATTACTTGAGATCCTTACAGAGCTGAGCTTCACCAAAAGCAGTCTTCTCTCTCACTAAGCCACAGAAAGAATGTGTTAACAGTGCATATCTAATGGGATGGGCCATGATCAGGAAATGAATGCAAAAAAAAATTAGTGCTTTATGCAAATATATGCCTACATCCTTGACACTGTTATTTTTCCAGTACATACAAAAACTTGAAGAGCCAAGTGATTATTCTTAATTCTTTAACTCCATGGAAATATTTAGATTCAAAGTATAAGCTGAAAGATAGAAATACTCTTGTAATTTTACACAAGTGAGAAAATGTGTGAAATAAGAAAATGAAATATGTGTAGGTATATAGCAAAATAGGTAACATGCCTTTTCATTTTTAATTCTTCAAATATCAAATATTTCTCTTAAAATTATACATGACTATATATATAAAACCCTCCTTTGGATACACAGAAAAGCCATGGGGTTATCTAATCCCTTCCAGTTTCTCCTTTTTCCTGTGGTCGCCCAACACCCATGCCTAGTGCCTAGACTGTCAGACAACCAGTCACCACTATGTTCTAACCGTGGCCTGCTAGTACCAGACAGCATTACAACTTTGACATCCTTCTTTTCCTGGAGACCCCCTTCTTCCTCCAAAACAAGCCTATTTTTCCTGTTCTCCATCATTTATAAATCTTTTGATGTGTAAATTAAAATCTAACCATGTCATTTTAGTGCTTTTGAAGCATACTCCAGATATGCAAAAATCCTTCATTTCTAGGCTCCAACTAGAGTAAACTTTCCCTTTTTTTTTTCAGTTTGCTTCTTCCCACTAGAAGGATAGGCGTACCCTTTGCCTGGAGCCTCTGCAACTCTTTGACAGCTTTTTCTACCTCAGATCTAGTTCAATCTTCCTCCAATCCTCTGACTGTGTGAGATCTCCCTGATATACCCTGGTGAACCCCTTAGCTTCCTTTTCACAGCGCTTATTATAGTAGCAACTTTACATTCACATGTGATTTCTTGATTGATAACTATTTCCCTCACTGACCCTGAGCTCCATGCATATAAAACTGTGTCCATCTTAATCACTATTTTATCCCCCCGTGTTCAGTATAATGTCTATCATGTAATAGAAACTCAATAAATATTGAATATAGCATAATGAATGTGTGAATTCAATCAAATGGCTCCTGCTTTGTACTGATGTGTGATATTTCTTTCCTTTAAACCTATGTTTTACAGGTAATTACTGGCAATTTTAACAGGGAACCAGAACACAGACTTCTAAAATGTTAAGTACTAGTAAGTTCAATGTCAAAGGAAAAGCAGAGACTGCATGTTTCACAAGAATTAGAGAAGAAAGACCATCAACTAGGGTGAACAGGAAATTAACTACGAAAAAGACGGAATTAAGTTGACCTTTGAGGAGTAAGATTTAGATCATTAGAAAGGAGTGGAAGGCACATTCTGGGGGGAAATCTCAGATTTTAGAAAAAATGATATAGAATTGCTTAAAATGAGAACAGATTTATCAAAGAAGTAAATTCCATTCTGAAGATCTTAGTTTAAAAAGAGACTCCTAGGACTATAAAAATCAAGATCAGTGTTAAATCAATGCTTATAAATCAGTGCTGTCTTTGCCATTTAGATAAGATAAAAGCTCATGACCTCTCAGGTGTGTATTACTGGTAAATTTACAGGAAGAACAAGTTTTCCTAGTTATTCCTGTTAAACTCTGTGATCAGAATGTGCAGGTCATGTTTTCTGGAAGCAATTAAACTTGAGGAATTGGGATACTTTAAATGACATCATAAGTATCCCATGAAGTTGTAAGGAACTTTCTAGTCAGGGTGACTTGGCATAACTGGGCTTGATTCTAAACCAAGAGTGTCAGGAAGAGGAACACATTGCTACAAGAGTAAAATCAAAAATGATTTTCACAACTGTAGGCCACTGATTTGTTTAACGTGAGGATGTGAGTCATTTATATCAAGTCAAGTCTTATTTCTTTGTAGAGCATTAAACTTGGTGACACACTAAGTTGTGAAGCAGCACAGAAAGTTCCTAATCACAAAAACTGAGGAAAGGGAAATATCTTAGTGGTATAATCCTCAAGAATGACAACTCTAGTTTCTAGCCTAGGGCTCCATTTTCATGGGCCAGTCAAAAGGAATGATTTATCAAGCTCGATTTTTTGTTAATCCTTACCTGAGGATATTTTTCCATTGATTGTTAGAGAGATTGGAAAAGAAGGGAGACACATAGAGAGAGATATATTGATGTGAGAAAGACGCCTCAATTTGTTGCTTCCTACAGGGCCCCAACCAGGATTGAGCCTGCAACTGGGGTATATGCCCTTGACTAGAACTGAACCCGGGAGCTTTCAGTCTATGGGCTAATGCTCTATCTACTGAGCCAAACTGACTAGGGCTATCCAGGTGGATTTAGATGTTTCATGTCCTTTCAGGTTAATATCTTTCCTAAAATGTCATAAGGAATAACTGACAATTAGAGAAAAGTAGCTGCTAAAAAGTTTGGCATGGTTGGCAAACTACTGCCTGTGGCAAAACTGCATTTAAAACATTAATTGAGAAAGGTATTTCATCAAAGACTGTATCCTGAAGTAGATATATTTGTAGCATAGTCACATGGCATGCATGTTTTATTTATTTATTTATTTATTTATTTATTTATTTATTTATAATATATTTTTATTGATTTTTTACAGATAGGAAGAGAGAGGGATAGAGAGTCAGAAACATTGATGAGAGAGAATCATGGATCAGCCGCCTCTTGCACACCCCCTACTAGGGATGTGCATGCAACCAAGGTACATACCCTTGACCGGAATCAAACCTGGGACCTTTCAGTCCGCAGGCCAACGCTCTATCCACTGAGCCAAACCAGTTTCGGCGGCATACATGTTTTAAATAATTATGGTAATTCAAAGAAGGGTGTAATGAATAGGTTAATTTTTCCTTAATTTTTTTTTTTCCTACTTATGCACTTACCGGATTATGAGCAGTTCCACCCAAACTCGTACAAAAGCTGGTAATGGGCCAAAGACTTCCAGAATATATGTGTAATGACCACCAGATTTCTTTATACTTGTTCCCAATTCAGCATAGGACATGGCTCCTGTAAAATATTTATAATAAAGAGGTACAAAGATAAATATCACCAAGTAATTCTGCAGTACAGTTAAAACAACAATGTTTATATTGCATGGAATATTATTACATCCTTTGGTATAAATGACATCCTATTTCAAAACAAATAACGGTCATCTAATTGCTAAAGAGCCACCAAATTCTTGTAACTTCCTTAAATTTGACATCTAATTCATTCTGTTTGAACAGTGTAAATTTACTTGAAATAGTAAAGACAAACTCCTAAGACAATATCATATTATTAAGAATTTTGAATCGCAAACCTGGGAACAAAGGAAAAAGAAGAGATAGATGCCAATAATAGTAACCTATTTTTAGAGCATAATTTCATACTAAGATATAATCCCAAACTGACCTCATGCTATTGAAAATCCTTTTAATAAATATTTCTATGCTATATCAAAATAAAGATTTATCTAGCCCGAGCCCAGGAGCTCAGTTGGTTAGAACATCATCCCGATATGCCAAGGTAGTGAGTTTGATTCAAGGTCAAGGCACAGACAGGAATCAACCAATGAATGTATAAATAAATGGAACAACAAATTAATTGCTCTCTCACTCTCTTTCTTATCAGTAAATAATAAAAGAAATTTATCTGTTTTTCAGAAAAGTATGAATTCTAGGTCTTGAAAAGCTTTAATTATGTTATAGGATAAGTTTTGTGTGTAACAAAATGAATTTAATTCAGATATTTTATTTCTGGAAAACATTTTTCCTGGATGTTTTTAAAGAATCTACTTCTGGGTGGTTGAAACAACACGCTTTTAAAAAAAGAGATGCTATAAGTTATATTCATTGCATTTGATAAAATTCATTGTGAACCAAATTTTAACATTTAGCAATACAATTCACATGGACTTAAGTAATGTAACCTCCCAAAATTTCAGTTTCATGTTTTGTGTATCAATGAGATAACAGGTGCCAAAGGCCCCACACCTGGAATAAGTACCTCTTAAAAAACAGCTATATCATTAATTTGCACAATTACTTATCAAGAAAATGAAAAATATATCTTGTTATGACGTAAAAAGTTTTACCATACTGCTAAATACTTAAATGTAACACTCATTTTTTTTTTTTACTTGTGCTACTTCAGAGGACAAAAGTATGGGAAATTATCACTAGTCAGCAAGAGTTTAGGTACTACTGTCCAACATGAATAGAATTTGGATATTCAGTGAAATCTTAGTATCACTTATCCTATTCCAGAGCCTAGCATTTTATCAATCACCCAGGAAGAATTTTCTATTTAAATACAAACAAAAAACCAGTTTCTAGGGCCATACCCAAGACCTATACTCTAGCCAAGAGAGTTTAGATTCTCCAATAAAAGAATCCAAGATAATCTATTATAATACTTTAAAATTTGCACAGGTGATTCTAGAGTAACTAGTCTGCGGATTGATAGTTGGGAATCACTGACAGAGTTTGCCTGTTTATAATTAATTATAACGATCTGCAATTTACACTCTGTTGGAAACCACTCACCATGTGGATAGGCTGTGCAAAAAAGCATCCAATATAAAAATATATTGGAAAGAGTCTTCAGTACCTCAGTATTGATTGTCAAGGAACCAATACCTAGACCTGTGCATGCTTTGCAGAAACTCCAGGATGGTTACCCTAGGTTTAAATTGAGTTCTGCGGGAATGAGATTTTCATTTAAAATTCTCAAGCTCATGAAAGAAGTTCAAAACAGGATATAAAAATCCATGTATTGATTCTGACTTTAAAGAAGAATTGTAAACCAGATATATAGATTCTTTGGTTCTAGAGTTATAATAGAGTTAGTACCTTTACAGGGTATTGTCTTTTGAAATCAAAACACACAACTTGCCAGAGAAAAGCAAATATATCTTAAACATGTACCCCACAGCAAAAAAAAAGAAAAAAGAAAAAGAAAAGAAACTTATTTTTTTGAACCATTCACCAGTTTTTGTCACCTTTACAACTAACTCATGTTAGCTTTCTAGTAATTTGTTCACCTCATGAGGGGACATTTATTACTTCTTTACTATTAACTGTCAAATCAATAGAAGAAATCTTGATCTCGAAGGAAAATTAATAATCATATTTCTCCTAGCAGTTCCGTTCAGTGAGCAGGTGGACAAATGGTCTGTGTCTCTAGAGACCAAGGGGACTATAAATGAAGAAAACAGATCTGAGCAAGCATAGCAAATGGATGCCCAATTCCAGTTTCACAATTTATATTGCAAAAATTTATAGGTGAGAGAGGAAAGGTAAAAAAAAAAAAAAAAAATCTGTAGTATGCTCAGACCCTTGCAATACATCCACTCATGATAGTGATTGAGTCACGTGCCATCACACATCTTTCCATATCAAGGACTTTTGAAAGAATCCTAGGAATTAACAAGCACATGAAGTTAAAAAAAAAAAATTTAAAAGGAAAAGACTGCCACCCATTTGTTTTGCCAAAAAAAAAAAAAAAAAAAAAAAGGCAGTAAAACTTCTGCTGAACATTCAGTTCCGTGTCTAAATAGGCCACGCCAGCTTTCACTTCACAGGTGTTTCATTCAGCGTGCCAGCTGCTGAGACGCCCCAGACACGCATAGCCAAGCACAGCTGCCCGGGACAGAAAGCTCACATAGATTGCACTGGGTCATCAAAGTTAGCCTTTCCTTTGGTAGTCCCAGGGAAAAGTCAGGAAACAGTCTGTCTTAGGAAAAAGGAATACAGCCCGCAGGAATAGATTTGAAGGAATTCAGGATCCTGTCAACAGTGGGCACTGCTTTTGTATGGTCCGCAAATCTAAACAGAAATCAGGAAATTGAGAGGATAGCTTTGGCCATTTCATTCACTGCTTAAACATTACCCTCTGCTTTCCCAGAGAGAGAACTGCCCAGCTCCACAGACACACCCCCTGAGAAGAAGCTGCACTCACCAAACAGTGACAGGACCCCACAGGCGGTCCAGACAATCAGAGACATGCCCACACTGCCCGTGTTCTGGAGCACGCCCTTAGGAGAGATGAAGATTCCCGATCCAATGATGGTGCCAATGATGATGGAGATGCCCCTCAGCAAAGTGATTTTCTTCTTCAGCATCACTGTCTCCTGCCCAGGGGGCTCCTTGCCCCCCGGGGAAGGCAGGCTCTCTTTAACAGTCCCCGGCAGGTAGCCTCCATTGGGAATGGTGGCCACAACAGGCTTTCTGGTCATTGTAGTGATACACCGTCGTGGGAAAAAGGAAACAGAGGGGGGAGGGGGGGAGAAAGAAAAAAAAAAAAAGGGTAAAAACCTGAAAATTTCAACTTTGGTGTCTCTTTGGTGTGAGTAACCAGTCTCTTCCTCCTTGTTCCCAGACTGTCTCTCAGTGCTACTGTGTTCAGAGGTAAAAACTCAGAGGTGTACTTTCTCCTTCACAGCTATGTAATTACTCCTCAGGAACACCTGCTCCTCCACCTCCTCCAACTACCTCGGTGCTGTGGCCGCCGCGGCAGTCTTATCATTAAGACCAGCTCAGCTTCCTCATGGGCTGGTATTTAAGCTCCTGCCTGTCACACAAACTTACTCCGGCTAAATGATGATGCAAATTCTCCAGGTTTGCATCAGCCACATGAGAAGGCTCCAGCATGACTCAGCTCTTTTTTTTTTTTTTTTTTTTTTTTTTTTTTTTTAACAGTAGCAGGATGTTGCTCAAATGACCTAAGCCTTTCAGAGAACAAAGCAAAGCACACACACTTAAAAGGGATCTTAACCAATCCAAGAGGAGTAAATGCGTAACAGACCTTCCCAGAGAGTTAAAGCAACGCCTAGGGAGCGACAAAAACTCTTGACTCAAGAAAGAAAGTATGAAATGAAGCAGGAAATGGCCCCAGCATTGTGGAGTTCCCTTTTTCTGTTACAAGCAACTGTTTTGATAATAGAATGAAACCCAGAAGGCGCTGTTTATGAAACAAAATTTAGATTTTTTATAATCTGTTTCCTGCGCGTTTTATTTATTTATTTTGGGGGAGGTTTCCTAGCAACACAATTAAATCTAATATTTACAAAGTTAGAAAGATTCTGTATGGCCACTGTCATGCACATAACAATTATGAGCCTTACTCAATACTAAAAGATAAAAAATTCCTACTGCCAATAATAAGCCAGTATTTAAAATTACCATCTTAGTGTGACAAGTTTTAAAATCTCAATAATTCTAGAAAATTGTCATTTTCTGATTCTCATTAATCCCAGGTGATCACCTAAACTAAATAAAAGATATATAGTTTTCATTTGTATATTAATCCATTGAATTACTAAGAAACACTAATTTAAAAATTGAGTAATAATTACAATGGCATAAAAACATGCATATAGCAAAAGCTTTAAAAGGGACACAGAATAATAGTTTGGAAGGTAATGACATCATGTATAAAGTTTTTTTTTTCTAAAGTGTATGAACTTCTGTTATAGTATGATTATAAATTTAAAGTGAATGAAAAAGATAAGCTAAGATTAAATTGTTTACCTTGAAACAGTAAGAAAAGCAAAACATTTAAAAACCCTACTAACTTTCTTAATTGAGCCCATAAAACAAATACCAAAAAGAAAAGAAATCCCAGATATCACGTTTGTGGTTTAGGTGGTTTGGGATTCCATGAGAATTGCACATTAACATTACCCTGAAGCTACAGTTACACACACTATCAAATATGCTTCGGAATGTCTGAACAGAAACAACAGATGGGGTGGGGTGAGGTTCAGAATGACATAAGAAACAGCCACTAGGAGAGCAGTGTGCAGAAGGTAAGAATTATTTTGTTCTGTTGGCACCTGAGAAGATTATACCACATCAATAAATACTCTGCCATCCAAATAACTGAGGCTACATCATTCCCTTTTATATTGTCTACCTGACCCTACGTAATTTGCTTTGGGTAGACAAAATCAGGGTTTTTCTACAGCCAAAATAAATACTTTAACCCAGATTTTAGGTTTAAAAAAATGGTAGTTTTTCTCATTCAATCTTGGAAAGTCCTAAAAGAAGAAAACTAGGAAAAATTCTTCTCCTATTTTTCCCCCTCCAAGTCCTTCCACTCACACAATTCTCCTGATGAATGAACATAATGAAGAGAGGAGGCCTTTGTCTCCCCCCAGGGGGAACATATTCACTCTGAAGACATATGAGTTAAAAGTAGAACATTCAGCATCCCAGGGAACAGCGTTCTGGCTCCAACTAGGACAGAGCACACTGTAATTTTACATTTTGTGCTAAATGACTGAACTAATAAATTGAGACCAAGACTTCACTCAGAGAGAAAGTTAGATAAATTCTAAAGAAGAGGGGGGGAAATGTTCTTTCAATATAAAAGAACATTCTCCTTCTTTGCACTTTTTTTTTAATTAATGAAGAAAAATTACTAAAGTTAGACTAATGGCCAGAAGGGTTGTGCTGTTGGATAAGACAGAGCCAAACTAAAAAATTCTATAAAGTGGCACATAGTTACCAAAGTCACCAGCATACTTCTTCAAATACCTAGATATTGGCAGAAAATGGAGATTACCAAGAAAATGCTGTTACTTTTGGTGTTGACAAACCCTAATAGTCAACAGTTCTAAACACATAAACTATGTGTGTTTCACAAAAATGAATTCCAAACAAATGCATTTATATTCCTCCTCCTGCTTAGGCGTTCTTTTAAACCCTCCTGTCAAGTTAGGAGACCATTCTTCTGTTATTTACAAGTATTTATTTAGTGCTTACAGTACACAAGGAATAGCCTCAGTTCCCTAAACACGTCTCATGGAAGAAACAGGCATGATATACTTCGGTAGCTTCCCCTTTGTGGTAAATTATTTCTGTCCCAAGCTTATAAATATGGGCACATAATGACCCTGGGCAAAAATAATCATCTCCCGGGCAGTGGGGTATAGGAATGTGACCTGAGCTGGGCTCTTTCTAAACAGGATTAGATGTATCTTTTCTCATCTCTTGGAAGTTGTGGAGATGTGACTTCAGAACAACTAGGTGCCTTGCCCTCTGTCATGTTGAAAAAATGCACATGAAATAAGTTGCAACTATGCAGAAATAAGAAACTTAGAATGTGCCAGCATTGCAGGGCCCTGTTTTAGTTCCTAAGGGATCCTGATTGGCTGTGGGTGCTGAAGATCTTTGATTTCTATAAGCTACCTCCTTTCCTTGCTAGATACGCTACCTCGTGCCACACACCCAGAACAGTTACACAAGGATGGCAAGGTTCAGTGGAAGTGGTATGTCATTTAAAGCTCCTAAACGGGGTTGATATGATACAAGATAGCCATTCAACACATATGGTTACAGGCGCTTGAAATGTGGCTAGTTCAAAATGGGATGTGCTGTTGAGTGTAAAACATCCACTGGAATTTGAAATCTTATTTTTAAAGAATGAAGAAAAAATATCTTCTAATAATTATATTATTTATATTAATTCCACCAGTTTTGATTTGTGTTTTTAATGTGGCTACTTAAAAATTAAAATTATATATGTGGTTCAGATTTGTGGCTCACAATATATTTTTATGGACAGTGTTGATTTAGAAGAAAAGAGGATATAATTCTCAACTTGGTATAAGCAAGGATTTCTTAAAAGGGACATACAAATTACTAACCATAAAAGATGATACATTAGAATATAGGTATTAAAATTAAGAAATTCAGCCGAAACCGGTTTGGCTCAGTGGTTGGAGCATAGGCCTGTGGACTGAAAGGTCCCAGGTTCGATTCCAGTCAAGGGCATGTACCTTGGTTGTGGGCACATCCCCAGTGGGGGGTGTGCAAGAGGCAGCTGATGGATGATTCTCTCTCATGGATGTTTCTAACTCTATATCCCTCTCTCCTCTCTGTAAAAAATCAATAAAATATATTAACAAAAAAGAAAGAAAGAAAGAAAGAAAGAAAGAAAGAAAGAAAGAAAGAAAGAAAGAAAGAAATTCAACCTTGATTGGTGTGTTTCAGTTGATTGAGTGTCATCTGTGCACTGAAAGGTCACAAGTTCAATTCCTGGTCAGGGAATATACCCAAGTTGCAGGTTTGATTCCTGGTGGAAGTGCATATGGGAGGCAACCGATCAATGTTTCTCTCTATATATGTATCTCTCTGTCTCTCTGTCCCTCCTTTTTCCTCTAAAATTCATAAAAATCATATTTAAAAGGAGAAAAAAAAGAATTTCATTTTATAAAAAGACATGATTAAGGGACTGTCAAAGTGAACCATGAAATGGGAGAAGGTATTTGCAACTGGCAAAGATCTCATATCCAGAATAAATTCTTACAAATCAAAAGGAAAAAGACAGCTTTAATGGGCAATACATTTTAACAGACATGTGATAAAGTGGCCAATACATTTGTAAAAAACTGCTCAATAGTACTAGTCATGAGGCCATGTGCCTGGGGAGGCACATGAGCATTTCTTTAATTATTGTCAGCTGAATCTACTGGAGTTGGCAGAGCACATCCTGGAAACACACCTTGCCAGAGGCAGAAGTGTTGTCTGCCTGACCTTCAACTCCAGGTACCAGGGGGTGGGTTTCGTTATCTAAACCCAGCCAAGCACCAGGAACAAACACGATTATCTGGGCCCACCCAGAATATCACACTGTATCTGCTCTGGGTAACTGTCTCTCCATCAGAGGACAGCTGTCCCACGCAACCCCAGCTTTTTCCTTCTATCTCTGTATCTGTCGCTTTCCTTCATTTTCTCAGTCCCCAGCAGTCCCTACTCAGGAAACTGATAGCTCTCTAGCCACAGTGGACATGGAAAAGAAATATTAATAGCCAATTAACACTAAAACAGCCATGAGGTATTAATTCCCAACATCATTGGGGCTCATTTGAGACTGACAATACCAGGAGTGGAAAAAATGTGGAGCATCTAGAACGCCTACATTCTGCTGCTGGGAATGTTAGCTGTTGCATCTTTTTTGTTTGTTTTTGGATTTTATTGTTTTATTCCAGGGAAAAAGGGCAGCTATAAAATACAGAGGCCTCTGTAACAATGACTTGTTTTTTCTTAAAGGGAGAGAATGATTGGAATCCAAGGAATTAAAGCAATAGATGGGACAAGTCAGAGCATCTCCAAGTTATTTTCAGGAAACAGCAACCAAATACAAGCTAAATATTCCAAGCCAGGAATTCTTCTAACAATTTGCCTTGTCTTGTAGATTACCAACACCTCCCCACTTTGGTGGGAAAGCATAATTTATTACTCCAAACCAATGACTCCACTATAAGAAACACCTTAGAACAAAGTTTTGAATCAAATCTGTGTACCTGCAAAGCACAGGCAAGGAATGAGGCAAATACACACACGCGCGCGCACACACACAAAATAACAAATATAAAAACCCTTCAAACAAGGACAAAGATTTGACAAAAGGTGCCTGAACTGTAGAATGTAAAGGATCATTAAGCATTAAATGCAACTGTGTACCCAGTTTGTGTTAATATATGGGATAACCAGACAGTTTTACCCTCTATGGCTAAGCCCATTTCTTTATATAGACGGACAAAGCTAGCCCTGCTCTAGTAATAACTA